GAACCACAAGGTCACAATTCAAAACTACCAGCTGTTCTGCGGGAGAAAGATGAGGCTTTCTGCTCCCGTAAAGATTTATAGCCTCGGAAACCCTGTTCAGGGTTGCTATGAGTCGGAACTGACTCCACAGCACATAACAACAACAACAATATATATGGAGAGAAAGACAGAGTGCTGGTGTGGTGCTGAGGGTTAATGTGCTGACTGCAAAGTTGCTTTGAACCGACAGGTTGGTAGTTCAAGCTCACCATCTGCTCCTCAGAAACCCTATACAGGGTCGCTATGGGTCGGAACCATCTCAATGGCACTTAACCCATTGAGTTGGTTCTAACTCATAGCAACCCTATGTAGGGTTTCCAAAACTGTAAATTTTTGTGGGAGCAGAAAGCCCCATCTTTCTCCCACAGAGTGGCTGGTGGGCTCCAACCATGGATAAGCACTGGACTGTGAACTACAAGGTTGGCAGTTCAAACCCACCAGCTGCTTCTCAGAAACCCTATATACAGGGTAGTATGAGTTGGAACCAATCATAGCATTTAACAACAATGTATATATAAAATGAAAGAGAGAAACTTTGGCAGATCAAAATCCTCTTCATTTTGTCGCTTATTTCTGTGTAATGTGGGTAAGTCACTTTTTTTTTTATTTATCAGAGTCAAGAACCTTGAAGATTAATAAAAGTTGTTGAAAATGGTCTGGATACTTATATAATTCCTCCTCTTATCATCAAGTCCACATCAAAACTCATGTGTAAAAATTTAGTCATTCTTGGTAATTTATTTATTTAACAAATAATTCTAAATGCCTACTGTCTCTAAAAGGAGCTCTGGTGGTGTAGTGGTTACGAATCGGGCTGTGAACCTCAAGGTCAGCAGTTCGAAACTACCAGTTGCTCCATGGGAGAAAGATGAGGCTTTCTGCTCCCATAAAGATTTGCAGCCTCGGAAACCCTGTTCAGGGTCGCTATGGGTCAGAACCTACTCAATGGCACTTAACAACAACAACAACTGTCTCTAAGGCTCTGAAAGAAGACTGTTTTTCTATGATTTGGAGTTACAACAAAAATTGCTATTGGATTTCTCCTCTCTGTTTTCATATAGGAGTCCTGTTGTGGAGCTGTAAATTTCAACACTTTTTGTCCTATTTTCAGATTGAGTCAGTATTAGAAATGTAGGTTTTGGTTTGTTACAGTGACTAACATACTGTTGCAACACAAACATAAAGCAACTAAAAATATAACAAATTCGCTTACATGGGAAGAACTACTGTGGAGTATAGCAGTCCCTCAATTCCCCTTATAGCGTAACTCTTAAGAGTTGTATGTTGGCAGATATGCCAGCTGCTGCGACAACATTGTTGAGTGCTGTCGAGTGGGTTCCGACTCATAGTGACCCTGTATGGGGTTTTTGAGGAGTGGCTGGTGAGCTTGAACCACAGATCTTGAAGTTCAAAATGACTTTGCCATCCAGTGTATTAACCCTCAGTGCCACAACAGAGCACACTAGGACAAGTCAAAAGAGGGTTATACCAAATACATGTTACCTATTACTTTGGGGAAAGCACAATGAATCAGAAGTCAGGAAGTTGGAGTCCTCTACCACTAATTACATTCTCTATAGAGTAAAGGAGAGGAGTCCTGGAAGTGCAGTGGGTTACAAGTTGGGCTGTTAACCAAAAGGTCAACAGTTCAAATCTACCAGCTACTCCATGGAAGGAGGATGAGGCTTTCTGCTTCCATGAACATTTACAGCCTTGGAAACCCTGTACACTGTTGCTATGAGTTGGAACTGACTCTATAGCACACCACCACCGCAGAGTAAAGGATTAGACGGTCTTTGAAGAATAAATTCTAGAATTTGTTTATCTTTGACTATGAATGATTTTTTTGTTTTGGACTTTTTGCATGGCTTTTTATTCTCTTCTTTAATTATTGCCTAAATTGCCAACATTTACAAAGTATAAAACTTTGGAATCATTTCTCTAAGATTTCCATTTTGAAAGAATTTTACTACAACTTAAGAGGCAGTCAAAACGATTTCTGTGTCTCTTAATATTACAGATCCTGTCACAAAACCAGTGGTGCAGACTCAGCCTTCCTCTGGAGCAGTGGAGTATGTGGGGAACCTGACCCTGACATGCCTGGTGGCAGGGGGTACCCGGCTGGTTTACCAGTGGTTAAAAAATGGGAGGCCTGTCCACACCAGCTCCACCTACTTCTTTACTCCCCACAACGACACCCTTCATATTACTCCAGTGACTAAAGGAGACATTGGCAATTACAGCTGCCTGGTAAAGAACCCTGTCAGTGAAATGGAAAGTGACATCATTATGCCCACCATATATTGTAAGTTGGTTTTACTTTTTTTTAGTTTGCCTGTTTGTTTATTTAACTACTCATGAATTTTCTTCTGGGAAGGTCTCACAGAAGTAGTTATGGAAAATATCAACATCAACTGCCCTTTGTTGTTTCATTTTTTTAATCATTATTACTATAATGTAATATTATTCAGAGTCCTGGGGCAGGATAATGTACTGGACCACAAGGTTGGTTTGAAACGCAACATCAGAGGTTCAAACTCACCATCCGCTCCTCAGAAACCCTATACAGGCTCACTATGAGTTGGAACTGACTTGAAGGCACTTAACAACAACAACAACTAGTTCTAATCACATTTCCTAACCACAAGGTCAGAGGTTCAAACCCACAAGCAATTCTGTGGTATGAGTTGGAACCGACTTGACAGCACTTAACAACAACAACAACAATCTTGTCATAAATATACTTATCAGCACAGCTCTGTTTCTGTAAGATCAAATTAAGTAATGACCAAGAACCATTCAGATCCATTTTATGATTTCATCTACTGTGCAATCTCATTTCTAGTGGTCCCTTTCTTTGTAGTATTATTTTACTCAGTACTTTTCTACTTGTGTTTAATAGTATCTAAGGAGCTCTGGTAAGGAGCTCTGGTAGCGTAGTGGTTACGAATCGGGCTGCGAAACTTAAGGTCAGCGGTTTGAAACTACCAGCCGCTTCACAGGAGAAAGATGAGGCTTTCTACTCCCGTAAAGATTTACACCCTCGGAAACCCTGTACAGGGTCGCTATGGGTCGGAATCGACTCGACGGCACTTAACAACAACAACAACAACAAGGAGCTCTGGTAGCGTAGTGGTGACGAATCGGCCCGTGAACCACAAGGTCAGCAGTTCAAAACTACCAGCTGCTCCGCGGGAGAAAGATGAGGCTTTCTGCTCCCATAAAGATTTACAGCTTTGGAAACCCTGTACAGGGTAGCTATGGGTTGGCACCGACTCGACGGCACTTAACAACAATGTGTTTAATAGTACATTTCAATTCCAACCTTGCCTAAGTTTCTCAACCTCTACATTAATGAACTGTGGACTGGATAACTCTTTGTTATTGGGAAGTCAGGGTGGCTGACTTATACATAAGGAGCCCTGGAGGTGTAATAAGTTATGCATTGGGCTGCTAACCACAAGGTTGGCAGTTCAAATCCACCATCCACTCCACAGGAGAAAGATAATGTTTTCTACTCCCATGTAGAGTTACAGACTCAAATACCCTATAGAGCAGTTCTACTCTGCCCTATGGAGTCCTGTTATAGCTCTGTAGGATAAGCACAGGGCTGCTAGCCTAAGGCCGGTGGTTAAAACCCACTAGCCATTCCTTGGAGACCCTATATAGGGTCACTATGAGTTGGAACCGACTCAATGGCACTTGACAACAACAACAGCTCTGCCCTATAGGATTCCATGAGTCAGAATTGGCTCGATGGCAGTTGGTGGGACCTGTGCATGGTAGAATATTTTAGATAATTGGGTTATGATGAGCTATTTTACCAATGATTATGATTCAATAGCCTGAAATGCCCACTTTCGCTCCACAAGAGTCAGAAGAGCCCTCCCTTTTCTTGTAAAGCTGCTGTTGCAGTGATGCTCTGGTCACTGATAAGCAGACTTTCCAAAATGACAGGCACGGGTCCTCAACAGGAGGACATTTTGCTCCCCAGGGGACATTTGTCAATGTGTACAGACATTTTTGGTTGTCACAACTGGGGGTCAGGTGCTGTTGGATGCTATTAAATATCCTGCAATACACAAGTCCCACCCACTGCCATGAAGCCAATTTTGACTCAGCAATTCTATAGGGTAGAGTAGAATTCTATAAGGTTTATGAGGCTATAAATCTTTAGAGTAGCAAAAGCCTCAGCTTCCTCCTGTGGAGCAGCTGGAGGGTTTGAACTCCTAACTTTGTAGTTAGTAGCCCAGTACTTAACCTATGCCCCACCACCAGGACCCCTTATACATAGATCTGTGAGGAGTTCGGTAACTTGATAGGATAAGCACTGGACTGAGATCCCTAAGGTCAGTGGTTTGAACCAAACAACTGCTCCACAGGAGAAAGATGAGGCTTTCTGCTCCTGTAAAGATTTAAAGCTCCAGAAATCGCAATGAGTTGGAACCTTAATGGAACCAATGGCACTTAACAACAATAATATTCATCTATTTGCTCATCAAATATATTTTCATATTATTGGGAGAGGCACCCAAACCTAGTATGTAAGTGCTTAAGAGACAGATCTAACTAAGAAACCTGGTCTGTTATTACATGTGACCTTTAGTTAATTCCTTGATTTTCCTGAGCCGCATCTGGTTATAAAATGTTGTTATTGTTGTTAAGTGTTGTTGAGTCGATTCTGACCCATAGCAACCCTGTATAGGGTTTCCACGGAGCAGCTGGTGAGCTTGAACCATTGACCTTGTAGTTCAAATGACTTTGCAGTCTGACGCATTAGCCCAGAGTTCCTCACCAGGACTCCATCTATAAAACAGAAATAGTTAAAAACCACCTCAGCACATTTGTTGTTGTGTGCCATCGAGTGGATTCCAACTCACCACAACTTCATGTGAAGTATGGAGCAGCTACATTCGGTTTCCTAAGCTGTCATCTTTATGGACTCCTGGTGTGGCGCTGTAAGATAAACAATGGCCTGCTAACCACAAGGTTGATGGTTCAAACCCATTAGTGGTGGCCAGCTGAGGGCTAGGGTCTTTTTATATCATGAAGTGTACAAGCTTCACAAACGGCAGAGAAGTTAAGAATGGTAGGTAGGACCAGGAGAAGGGAGGAAAACCACACTGTGCAGGGCAACCTGCCCCTTTCTAGAAGATCTGCACAGTAGGAGGGCTGTCTGCTGCTTCCTAGATCCTCCAGGGATCTAGGAAGATATGGTATGAGGTGACCTTGGCATGGCCATTTTGGAGCATTCAATTCAGTTTGTGTCCCTACATATGGAAAGTACTTAAAGTACTACTGACTGGCCTATTCTGTTGTTGTTGTTGTTGTTGTTGTTGTTAAGTGCCATCGATCTGGTTCCAACCCATAGCCACCCTGTATAGGGTTTCCAAGGAGCAGCTGGTGAGCTTGAACTGCCGACCTTGCAGTTCAAACAGCTTTGCAGTCTGATGCATTAACCCACAGCGCCACATTCTGTCATTGGTTGTTGTTAAATCAGTTTCACCTCATAGTGACGCCGTGTATCAGAGAACAACTGCCATATAGGGTTTTCTAGGGTACAATCTTTGTGGGAGCAAATCATAAGGTCTTTTCTCCCATGGAGCCACGGGTGGAGGGCAGGTGGGGGAGGAGTTTAACTTAAACTACCAAACTTTCAGTTAGCAGCCAAATGCTTAACCAGGGGCCACCAAGATTCCTAATTAGCCAATAGTCAGTACCATTCTATTACAGTACTACTGTTAGGTCATTATTATCACTACTGTTATTGTTAACTGCTGTTGAGTCGGCTCTGGTTGTTAAGTGCCATTGAATTGGTTCCAACTCATAGCAACCCTGTATAGTGTTTCTGAGGAGTGACTGGTGAGCCTGAACCACTGACCTTTCAGTTCAAATCGACCTTGCAGTCCAGTGCATTATCCCACAGTGCCACACACCAGCACTCCTACTTCTGACTTTGTTGTTGTTGTAAAGTGCTGTCAAATCGGTTCTGACCCATAGCAACCCTGTATAGGGTTTCCAAGGAACAGCTGGTGAGCTTGAACTGCCAACCTTGCAGTTCAAACAGCTTTGCAGTCTGGCATATTAGCCCACCGCACCACACTAGGACTCCCCTACTTCTGACTAGGGAGAGGTTTTCTTCAGAAAGTGAAGAAAACTTGAACAAGGGTAAAATTTAAGCAATTGGCAAAACCAGTTGAACTGGGAAAACCAGTTCCGCTCATGGGGACAGCAGGAGCCAAAACACAAAGCAAGGATAGCAAATGGTCCAGTTAATCAAGTATGCAAGATACCTGAAGAGCAGTGATACAATAGATGGCCAGATACATAAATCTGAGCCTCATTATGGAGAGCTTGAAATGCCAGGCATTATTTGGCAAGCAATGAGGCAAAATTGGAGTAATTTCTTAAATTTAGGGTCTACAAGTTTATAAAAAAGAATAGAGAATAACTTCTAAATAAATACTAAACACTTCTACCTTTGGACTCCTAGTGTGGCACCATAAGATCAGCACTGGACTGCGAATCACAAGCCCAAACCCACCAGCTGCTCCTTGAAAACCCTATACAGGGTTGCTATGAGTAGGATCCAATTCAATGGCACTTAACAACAACAATTTTATTAAAAAGAATAGAGAATAGTTTCTAAATAAATACCTAAACACATATACATAATAACATTGAGTACTAAATCAAGAAATGTTTGTCAACAGATCATGTTTACAAGATAGATGAGAGACTTCATACAACCAGGCACACTGCCATCAAGTCAATTCCATCTCAGCAACCCTATATAGGGTTCCTGAGGCTGTACATTTTTACAAGTGAAGACAGTCTTATTTTTCTCTTGCAGAGTGGCTGGTGGGTTTTAACTGCTGACGGTGCAATTAACTGTCCAGTTCCTACAGTACATTGTCACCAGAGCACCTTCCAGTTGCATAAAGCATTGTTGTTAAGTGCTGTTGAGTCGGTTCTGACTCATAAAGAGTTTCTGGTGAGTTTGAACCGCTGACCTTTCAGTTCAAATTGACCTTGCAGTCCATTGCTTATCCCACAGCACCACACCAATACTCTGCATAAAATTTATACTGTATATAAAATTTACACTTACATCTACTTTTGGATGCAAAATTTCACAAGGAAAAAGGTTTGGTAGGATATATTTTATTAACTTAAAGTGGAGCTCTGGTAGCGTAGTGGTTACGAATCGGGCTTTGAACCTCACGGTCAGCAGTTCGAAACTACCAGCTGCTCCACGGGAGAAAGATGAGGCGTTCTGCTCCTGTAAAGATTTACAGACTCGGA